AATAGAATCTCTATATAACACGATATATCTATTAAACTAAATAATTATAACTTTAAAGGGATACTACCCCTTAGAATAGACATAAAATTTAAAATCTCAAACTTGGTCAATAAGAGTATATATTCATCAGTTAGACTTACCAGGTGTCATGACTAAAGAATAGAATCTCTATATAACACAATATATCTATTAAACTAAATAATTATAACTTTAAAGGGATACTACCCCTTAGAATAGACATAAAATTTAAAATCTCAAACTTGGTCAATAAGAGTATATATTCATCAGTTAGACTTACCAGGTGTCATGACTAAAGAATAGAATCTCTATATAACACGATATATCTATTAAACTAAATAATTATAACTTTAAAGGGATACTACCTCTTAGAATGGACATAAAATTTAAAATCTCAAACTTGGTCAATAAGAGTATATATTCATCAGTTAGACTTACCAGGTGTCATGACTAAAGAATAGAATCTCTATATAACACGATATATCTATTAAACTAAATAATTATTGAAAAAAATTTTCAAAATTACTTAGCTTAATGACTTATGGTTAAAGGAACAGATGCACTATTTTAGGGGGTTGATTTGAGTCTTGAATATATGTAAATAGTCTTCAGAAGTACTAGAACTGTACCAAAATCACATAATTCCTTTAAAATATCTCACACTATGAATTTCTTTTCCTATTTTTATAGATGTCTTTTCTATATATCACAGAGTCGTCATTTTAACATTCCAACGTAGATAATTCTAGACACACATGGATTTGAAGACTCAAATTTCTACAGTGCGCTGTGAACACTATTACTGATTAGCTTAGCTAAAAAATTCATGTGTCTGAGAGACTAAAGTATAGTTGGTAAAAAAAAATGGCGCATCTGTCCCTTTAAGTGCATTATTAGAATTAGTATTATAGATTTTATAACATGGAATATTTGCTTGTTATTTCATTGTGTTTTATCTTAGATGATGTTATGATTAAACCATTGTTTCAAGTTATTGATCGATGTATTACATCATGTTAATATTTAATATCATACGGTTGGAAAGACTGACATGGAAAAAGCATTTAGTCGTAGGGATGAACCAATAAACCAAGGTCTTGTGATACAGGTTGGAGAGACTGACATGGAAATAGCATTTAGTCGTAGGGATGGGTCAATAAACCAAGGTCTTGTGATACAGGTTGGAGAGGCTGGCATGGAAAAAGCATTTAGTCGTAGGGATGAACCAATAAACCAAGGTCTTGTGATACAGGTTGGAGAGGCTGACATGGAAAAAGCATTTAGTCGTAGGGATGGGTCAATAAACCAAGGTCTTGTGATACAGGTTGGAGAGGCTGGCATGGAAATAGCATTTAGTAGTAGGAATGGGCCAATAAACCAATGACTTGTGATACAGGTTGGAGAGGTTGACATGGAAAAAGCATTTAGTCGTAAGGATGAACCAATAAACCAAGGTCCTGTGATATAGGTTGGAGAGACTGACATGGAAAAAGCATTTAGTCGTAGGGATGAACCAATAAACCAAGGTCTTGTGATACAGGTTGGAGAGACTGACATGGAAATAGCATTTAGTCGTAGGGATGAACCAATAAACCAAGGTCTTGTGATACAGGTTGGAGAGACTGACATGGAAAAAGCATTTAGTCGTAGGGATGAACCAATAAACCAAGGTCTTGTGATACAGGTTGGAGAGACTGACATGGAAATAGCATTTAGTCGTAGGGATGAGCCAATAAACCAATGTCTTGTGATACAGGTTGGAGAGACTGGCATGGAAATAGCATTTAGTCGTAGGGTTGGGTCAATAAACCAATGTCTAGTGATACAGGTTGGAGAGGCTGCCATGGAAAAAGCATTTAGTCGTAGGGATGGGTCAATAAACCAAGGTCTAGTGATACAGGTTGGAGAGACTGACATGGAAAAAGCATTTAGTCGTAGGGTTGGGTCAATAAACCAAGGTCTTGTAATACAGGTTGGAGAGACTGACATGGAAAAAGCATTTAGTCATAGGGTTGGGTCAATAAACTGAGTCCCCCTGTTCTAAACAATGTGCACATTAAAGATGGGTTTCCTTATTTTTTAGTGTCAAATTAAGCAAACTATTTGATTAATTGGTGTTTCTAATGAATTATCATGTATTCTTAATCATATCATTATGTTCTATTTGCATATAATTAAGATGGGTTTTCTTATTTTCAGGTTCTGTTTTAGTTGTCTGAAGATCACACAGCGTGAAACTCAGAGTAACAACATGTTTCAGGTTCTGCTTTAAGAAAAGATAAAAGGATAAATATAAAAGATTTGTTACCTGCTGTTGATTTTCTCTTTGTGTGATCAATCTGGCCTCGATACAACGACGAGTTTCTAAAAACGCCTTACGCTGAGCTTTCACGGTAGGAAAATGGGTAAAAATACCGGCGATATTTACACCTATATACAAAAATACATTGGATACAACCTGTAATAAAACAAAGAGGTTTTGTATCATTCCAATTTTCAATCAGATGTCTGTGGTTCTTGTTAAAGAGATTGTAAAGAGGTTTTCTAAATTTTGTATGTGTATCAGGGACACTGATAGCATCAATTTACACCATTCTAATTTTCAATCAGACGTCTGTGGTTCTTGTTAAAGGGATTGTAAAGAGGTTTTCTAAATTTTGTATGTGTATCAGGGACACTGATAGCATCAATTTACATCATTCTAATTTTCAATCAGACGTCTGTGGTTCTTGTTAAAGAGATTGTAAAGAGGTTTTCTAAATTTTTTATGTGTATCAGGGACACTGATAGCATCAATTTACATCATTCTAATTTTCAATCAGACGTCTGTGGTTCTTGTTAAAGAGATTGTAAAGAGATTTTCTAAATTTTTATATGTATCAGAGACACTGATAGCATCAATTTACACCATTCTAATTTTCAATTAGACGTCTGTGGTTCCTGCAATTCTATATAAAAAGAAGTGTTCTCTCACAGAGAATCCAGTCTACCAGGATTGAAATGAGGGAAGATGACTTTCACATGCCGATCGAGATTAGAGTCCACGACCATCATTTGTTCGACATAACCAAGCAAATGATGTCATGTAAAGATTTCAACACTCTAGCCGACAGTGCTACATCCCTCCTCAAGTTATTTGCTTCAAATCAAAATTTAAAAAAAGTTCTTACCTGTTTCCAAAGATAGGAGAGTTTATAATTGATGCTGATGCAACAGATGATATGAACAACACAAATACATATTCCACTAAAAACGGCAAGTCTCATACGGATCGGCATAAACGCGTAAATCATGTATGTAAAAAACAATGTACACCAAACTCCTGCGGAGGCATCGTAAATCTGTACATCTACAGTCACTAAAATTACAATTCCGACCAATAAAAATATCACAATATAGCACAAAATAAACAACTGAGGTTCGTTCAACGAAGATCTATTGCACACGACTTCCAATATCACAAAAATAACAATAATAATACCCAGAGTTATTCCCCTTGCCAGCAAGATGGAACCTCCCAGATAGTATGTTAACAATAACAAGAAACAAATGAAACAAAATATGCCCATTAAAATGGCGATACTGGTTTGATTAAGTTTAAAAAAATATCTTTGATATAACAATTCCAATTTCGCATCCTTAAATTTCTGAGATTTGAAAACTTTTGCGAAATTTTTCCTCGTGCAACACTTTCCGTTACACTCATTTTCATCTTCGTTTAATACGAATTCTTGAACTTTTGTTTCTTTCGGTTGGCTTTGTTTTGCCTCATACAATTCCTGGGCGCGTTCCCATGCTGATTTTCGAACATGTCCATTTTGATTATGATGCTTGGCAGGAGATTCTGTACTAATCGGTGATACAGTTCCATTTTTAAATGCAAAATTATTATGATTCGCTTTACGTAACACCACCTTGTCTTGGTTTAGTCCTTCTGATAAACTGTCATTAGTGGTGATCATGTTGAATTCCTGGACACATTTGGGTGTTTTATTTTCAAGATCTGTTTTTTTTCCATTCCTCATGCAATTTGTCTTGACTTTAAATCAAAAACCTGAAAAAAAAAACAATCATTTAACATGAATCAAATAAATTCTACCAGTCCAACGAAATGTATCAGTAGGGACACAGGCTGAAATAGGTCAGTTGTCTGAAGATCTCTACTTGTCAAACTTCAGTAGGGACACAGACTGAAATAGATCAGTTGTCTGAAGATCTCTACTTGTCAAACTTCAGTAGAGACACAGGCTGAAATAGATCAGTTGTCTGAAGATCTCTTCTTTAGTAGGGACACAGGCTGAAATAGATCAGTTGTCTGAAGATCTCTACTTGTCAAACTTCAGTAGAGATACAGACTGAAATAGATCAGTTGTCTGAAGATCTCTACTTGTCAAACTTCAGTAGGGACACAGACTGAAATAGATCTGTTGTCTGAAGATCTCTACTTGTCAAACTTCAGTAGGGATACAGACTGAAATAGATCAGTTGTCTGAAGATCTCTACTTGTCAAACTTCAGTAGGGACACAGACTGAAATAGATCAGTTTTCTGAAGATCTCTACTTGTCTAACTTCAGTAGGGATACAGACTGAAATAGATCAGTTGTCTGAAGATCTCTACTTGTCAAACTTCAGTAGGGATACAGACTGAAATAGATCAGTTGTCTGAAGATCTCTACTTGTCAAACTTCAGTAGGGATACAGACTGAAATAGATCTGTTGTCTGAAGATCTCTACTTGTCAAACTTCAGTAGGGATACAGACTGAAATAGATCAGTTGTCTGAAGATCTCTACTTGTCAAACTTCAGTAGGGATACACACTGAAATAGATCAGTTGTCTGAAGATCTCTACTTGTCAAACTTCAGTAGGGATACAGACTGAAATAGATCAGTTGTCTGAAGATCTCTACTTGTCAAACTTCAGTAGGGATACAGACTGAAATAGATCTGTTGTCTGAAGATCTCTACTTGTCCTACTTCAGTAGGGACACAGACTGAAATAGATCAGTTGTCCGAAGATCTTAAAACAGTTCTGAAAATTTATCAGTGTAAAATCAAACTGGATACTTAGTGTTTCATTAATCAAGTATATTGAACCAGGTAATAATAATATCATTTAATCTGTTTTAATTTATAATCATCCTGATTGTTTAGATAAACAGAGAGTCATCAATAGAGGATATGATACTATGACAACGCAGTTACATATACACAATGTCAAGCTATGACGTACTTCATCTTATACCTTGACTACAATAGCCATCTTTATAGTATCACAACTTCACAATGTCAAGCTATTATAAACTTCATCTTATACCTTGACTACAATAGTCACCTTTATAGTATCACATCTTCACATTGTCAAGCTATTACAAACTTCATCTTCACAATGTCAAACTATTACCAACCTCATCTTCACAATGTCAAGCTATTACAAACTTCATCTTCACAATGTCAAGCTATTACAAACTTCATCTTCACAATGTCAAGCTATTACAAACTTCATCTTCACAATGTCAAGCTATCACAAACTTCATCTTCACAATGTCAAGCTATTACAAACTTCATCTTCACAATGTCAAGCTATTACAAACTTCATCTTCACAATGTCAAGCTATTACAAACTTCATCTTCACAATGTCAAGCTATTACAAACTTCATCTTCACAATGTCAAGCTATCACAAACTTCATCTTCACAATGTCAAGCTATTACAAACTTCATCTTCACAATGTCAAGCTATTACAAATTTCATCTTCACAATGTCAAGCTATTACAAACTTCATCTTCACAATGTCAAGCTATTACAAAGTTCAGTACTGAAAATTTACCAGTGTAAACTTAAACTGGATACTTAGTGTTTCATTAATCAAGTATATTGAACCAGGTAATAATAATATCATTTAATCTGTTTAATTTATAATCATCCTGATTGTTTAGATAAACAGAGAGTCATCAATAGAGGATATGATACTATGACAACGCAGTTACATATACACAATGTCAAGCTATGACGTACTTCATCTTATACCTTGACTACAATAGCCATCTTTATAGTATCACAACTTCACAATGTCAAGCTATTACAAACTTCATCTTCACAATGTCAAGCTATTACAAACTTCATCTTCACAATGTCAAGCTATTACAAACTACATCTTCACAATGTCAAGCTATTACAAACTACATCTTATACCTTGACTACAATAGCCACCTTTCTAGTATCACAACTTCAAAATATCAAGCTTTTACAAACTTCGTCTTATACCTTGACTGCAATAGTCACCTTTCTTGTATCACATCTTCACAATGTCAAGCTATTACAATCTTCATCTTATACCTTGACTACAATAGCCACCTTTATAGTATCACATCTTCACAATGTCAAGCTATTACAAACTTATTAACACCATGCAGTGTGCTATAAGGGAAACTTACCAATATATAAGAACACACTACATCCAATCACATCTAAACTAATTTTCTAAAATTTCAGATTTAAGCATTTTTTATAAGTCAAATGAAGTCGTAGTAGAAATACCAATAACTAAAAAGATGAAAGTAACAAATAGTTAATATACCCTAATGACTTTCAAATTATCACTGACTAATAACAAGTCATTAACAATCGACGGACAGATTTAGAGTCCGCCCCCATTAATCAACGTGTCCACGTTAATAAAAAATACAAGATTGATCTAGAACTGAAGGAAATGTCGGGGAAATATAATCAGTCATATTAAATATGACAAGATCAATAAATAACGTAAATTACATATTTGACTCTTAAAGATGGTTTCCCTTATTTTTATTTATGAAATAAATGAAATGAATGGAGTTTTACATCCTACTTTTCGGCACCATGTGAGCTAATGAAGACAGGCAACGTCATGCAGTGTGCAATGAGGGAAATTTTGCCAGGACAGCCGCATTAGCCTGCTCTTTTTCGATTTCAAAGGATCTTTAACGTGTACAGTCTGTAGTACACCAAGCCTCGGTTTATTGTCCCATCCGAACGACTAGACGCTTTTTCCATGTAAGCCCCTCTTACCTACATCACTGACAGGGGGAAACTGTGTTGAAAAGTCCGAGGGAATCATCTCGACCTATGACGAGATTGAACCCTGGACCTTCAGGTTAGCGAACAAGCATCCACCACGGCTTGACCAAACCACTTGGTAATGATTTTACAAGGATAACAACTTAGGTTCATGAGGATCCTTTCTACCAGCTGGTCCTTGGTCAAACCTTTTGGTTATGATTTTACAAGGATTATAACTTAGGTTCACAGTTAAAGATGGGTTCCCTTATTTTTATTTATGAAAATGAAAATGCTAATACTTATATGAATAGAAAGTAGAGGTGTTCTAATGACTTGGAAAAATACCAGTTTGTCTCACATGTCCATAATTAATTCATAATTAACTAAATTAGAAGAGAATTACCAGCAGAATTCCAATGAGTGACACATCAAGAAAGGTCAAAAAGTCTTTTTTTTGTTTATCCAGACTGTAATTACATGGACATTTATGATTGGTTCAAACTCTTAATTATATGCAATAAGAACATAATGATATGATTAAGAATACATGATAATTCATTAGAAACACCAATTAATCAAATAGTTAAAAACTCTTAAAAACAATGTCACCATGCAGTTTGCTTCATTTGACACTAAAAAACAAGGAAACCCATCTTTAAAATATTATTATAATATTATAGGATAGGCACATACTTTCCAGTTTAATATTTCAAATTTTGTCATTGCAGTTGGATGTTATAGGGGTATTCTTCTTTTTCTAACTTACTCTTAAAGGGACAGATGCTCCATTTTTTTGACCAATCGTATCTTAGTCTCAGAAACAGGAATTTTTTATCTAAGCCAATCAGTAATAGTGTTCACAGCTCACTGTCGAAATTTGAGCCTTCAAATCCATGTGTGTTCAGAATTATCTGTGTTTGAATGTTAAAAAGGCAGGTATGCCATCCGTTTGATCAATCATACTTTAGTCTCAGAAACAGGAATTTTTTAGCTAAGTTAATCATTAATAGTGTTCCTTTAAATCCATGTGTGTCCCGAAGTATCCACATTTTTTGAGACACTGTCATATATAGAAAAGATATCTATAGAAATAGGAAAAGAAATTCCTAGTTCGAGATATTTTTGAAGGAATTATGTGATTTTGGTACATTTCTAGTACTTCTGAAGACTATTTACATATATTCAAGACTCAAATCAACCAAGCCAAGGACCATGTATAGTGTATTGTTGTATTTTTAAAGGAATTATGTGATTTTGGTACATTTCTAGTATTTCTGAAGACTATTTACATATATTCAAGACTCAAATCAACCAAGCCAAGGACCATGTATAGTGTATTGTTGTATTTTTAAAGGAATTATGTGATTTTGGTACATTTCTAGTATTTCTGAAGACTATTTACATATATTCAAGACTCAACTCAACACCCAAAATTTTTTTTACCTTGAGGATTCAAACAGACAATAATCCAACTGGCTATTCCTGAGTTACATGGAATACACAATAAAAGTAGCTATGTACTATCTTAAGATAGCTGAAAGCACTGGCACCGGCATCAGAATTTCTTACCTTGGGGAAGGATTCGAACCCACAGCACCTATTTGCCTAGCAGACAACAATCTAACTCGCTATTCCACATAAATAATAGAATTAGCTATCTTAAACCAGTTTCTTATCTTAAATGGTTTTACAATGGAAATTTATAAATTTTAAACTCTATTGTACAGGACAGTTATAGATAAGAAAATATTATAATAACACCTTTTACAACCATTAAAACTAAATATAGATCTTTATTTTATAGGACTACAGTTAAAGAGACAGATGCTCCATTTTGGGGTGTCCATATCAGTCTTGAATATATGTAAATCTTATATTTATATTCAGATACTTTTATTTATACAATTTTCACTGTTTTATAT